TCACACCAAACACTAGCCAGATGATCCACAGTCTTGTAGTTTACTTGCACTGCCTTGTCAAAAATCACTCGAGCATTAGCTATATCTTTGTGGTTCTCATACAATTTAGCAAAGGCAACCCACAAGGTATGAGGCTTCCCAACTGCTTTCATGGGATCAACTGTCCTCACTGCTTCTGTGTAAGTCAAAATCTGTTTGGTTGGGCTACCCTCAAAAATCTTTACCCTCCTGTGCCATTGCTCCACATTATGCGGATTTTGACGTAAGAGGACACTATTGGCAAGTTCCGGCCTTCTGTTCATTAAATGCTCCAACCGAGCCAACCTTAGATCTATATCCTTGTCATCATGCAACCAAAACCCCTTAAATATTTTCCTCTCAAACTTCTGTTTTGACTTGCACAGATCAACATCCAAACGAATATCTTCATCCTCCTCAATCACATCTTCTTGTATGTCTTCTTCTTCCTCATCACTTAAATCCAAGCTCTCCATCTTGTGAGCAATCACACTCTCTTCAAATTGTGAATAAGCATCAAATATTACACTGAAGTCCCTCACAGTTACTACTGTTGTCATACCCTCCTCAAAAATATCTCTAGCCTTCTCAAACAAACTTCTCCTAATGTAATAATCAGCAAGCGAAGTCCATAGCCTTCCTACCTCATCTGTAAACTTCCGTATCCCACCTCTAATTATTGCATCCACATTGAGCCCCGAAACCTCCGTCGCATGTGTTGTAAGCAGGTCACACAACTCCAACCACAGTCTGTGTTTTGTCTTCCCTTTTATTGAATAAAAGGTATCATCATTCAAAACAGAAGCTAACCTCTCCGCGGCCTCTTGCCACAGACTTGAATTCACCAAAAACTCAATGAAATCTTCAATGTGAGAAGGATCATACTTCAAGTACCTCCTATAAACCCTCAGTGAGGTCTCAATAGGGATACCCTTTTGGCTTACAAATACCAAATAAGGCTCCCAAATCCTGTCATGCTGAGTCACTGGCAACGCACAGAGAGCCCTGTCAAAAGTCCTACGCGTTCTAGTAATCAACTTCTGTTCCGTCAGGGTTTGCAAGTACATTATCCATATCCTGGGCATCTTGTGCATTGTGACAAGAGCTCTTTCAAACGTATTGTTGAGGGTGTCATACTTGGGGTGAGTAACGGGTAGATTTCTAACAATTTCAAGGCGTTCTCGCAGATACGCATGCCATAGCTTGTAGCTACCAGGAAGAGCTTTAAGTGCGCGTTCATAGATTATGAAACGGTTACTGAAAGGAGCTTCTGACTTAGCAATCAGATAACGCCACCACAACTTCAGACTAAAAGGGTTGCGTAAGATCTCCTCCTCGTAGGGGAGGTCATCTTGAGATGGGTAAAGTTCTTTTGAGATCGACATGAGAGCAGAAAATTAAAAAAAGCCCTAAAACCTTCTCAGAAAGGTAGAGATACTGACCTGGTCGAAAATTAGGACACAGTGATTCAATTCGCCAGACGCTTAAACCCTAGAGCCGCCGTCCGCACATGGTGGTGCGAATCCGAGATGAAGACGAAAGAATAAGTTCGGCTTAGGACAGAAACGAAATCGAGGGGTAGAAGGAGAAACAGCGGCGGAGGAGGAAAGATTGAAAAGAGAACCAGATATCAACCGGGCCTTGGCCCAAAAGAAGAAAATAACAAGCCTTGAACAAACTAGACATGGAAATCCCTAATGAGAGAAAACAAAAAAATTGATAATATTATAGTTATAAACTTATAATGTTATCATATGATTATTTATAATTTTATGTAATATTTAAAAAAATATAATCTGATTTTTTTTTGTTTTATTTGCATAATGGGAGGCAACCATCTCATCCCTTATCTTACCTTACCCGTATATTATGTGACTCGAACTTAAAATATCTTATTTTTAACAAAAATAGATAATTATTGAACTATTTAAGTTGTTGACTTTGATATTAAATATATACATAATTATGGATGGATTTTAAATACAAAAATTAATTATGTAATGAAATATTATATTATAAACTTATAATATAACGATAACATTTTTCAAAAAAAATTGAAGGTAAAGAGAACAATATTACAATGCTAATAACTGGGTACAATGAAACCAACGGGCAACCGTTAACAACTTCTATACGTTGATATCTAAATCTAAATATAAAAATTTTGAGTCATCTCTTCTTTCTGTCTCTCTTATCACTTAATTTTGTTTCTTTTTCTCACTTTATTTTTCACATTGTGTTTACCATTTTGACTTCATAGAAGAGCTCTAATAGTGTATTAGTTATTTTATGGGCATTGTCGTCTTCATACTTCACATTGTATTTACCGTTTTGACCTTATAGAGCTCTAATATTGTATTAGCTATTTTAAGGGCATTGTGATCTTTTATCCTAAACCCATGTTCCTAAATCCTAACATCCCTCTTCCCATCTAAAATTTTCATTTTACCCGTTAATTCCCCTTTTGCATTTTGCATTAGTGAGGTGTAAATGGTTATTCACTTATTAAACCCTTCTTCACAAGAGATAAAATTGGTAATTGGACTTTTTACTTTGTTTTTTTTTTTTTTTTTTTTTTTTTTTTCTAGTTCAACTTTCCTCATTTGCATTTCAAAGAGCATAGTTTTATGATATCGGACAGCCGACAGGTTTAAGCTGTAGCTTATATTCAAAATGAAATTTTGGAATGTAATTCAAAAAATATAGTTTTAAAACAACAATTCCAATTTTAGTATTTCCAACTTCCTATATCTTCTTACATTTCCTTCACATCTCAAGTCATTATTATTATTATTATTTTATTTTATGATGTGAGTTAATGAAAACTATTGGTTTGAATGATTTGATTTTGATGATTTTAGAGTGTTAAGATTATATGGTGTAATGAATGAATTTTATATTAAATAAGAGATTTAATTTATTTTTAATATGAATTATGAATATACAGAAATGTATTACTTTTCTTACAAAATACTACATAATCTGTAATATGTAAATTGTAAATAGAAAGTAAAGATTTCAACTCCATTAACTTATTTCTGTATATATACTTCCAACAATACCAACACTCTAAATTGGTAATAAATGAAAAAAGAAGAAGTAAGATTTTATTTTCCCAATCAAATTATTGTGTTCTGGGCATTTGGGATTGAGTTGAATAAAACAATTTGATCTTAAATTTAAGAGTTTAAACTAAACTTAGGTTAGAAGATCCAAATCCAAATAAAAAAGGATTTTCTTGACTTTGAGATCATTATAAAGATTTCACACATATTATATTTTTTAATAAAAAATATTACTTTTTTAATTTATCAAAATTATCACATTTAAAAATTTTATAATAAAAAATACCACATTTTCAATTCTATTATTTGGGGGTTAATTAAATGTTAATGCTTAGTTAGGAGACAGATTCCATTTGTGAGGCTCACTTAAACTGCTAACATGTAAAAAATAAAAATGATTTGGATAATGTTAGATAGACACCACAATATATATAAATGTCGACACTTATGCATCAAAATTGAGTATTCAAACTCCTAAGTCCTAACACGTGGTGTCGACACCAATTACAGTCATGTCTGTACTCAACCCGTGTCGGGATTTTGTAATCTTTGCAATTTTTTTTTAATTATAAAATAGCATATCTGTGTTTTTCCTTTTTGAGTTTATGCACACCTTTTACTTTTATACTTAAAATTCAAATGCATTCATTGGGTCCATAATTGCAACCTTTTTCTTTTTGCAATTTTGTTCCTCAGTTTTTAAAACATTTTCACGTTAGTCTAACTTTTTTTTTTTTACATTCAAGTTTTTTAATAAATAATAAAAATTATATAAAATTTAATTTATTAAAAAAATTATAAATTAAGATGTAAAACCTATGGACTAGCTAAATGCAACAAAATATATCATATAAACTTCCTAAAACTAATCTATCATTTAAGTATATCATATAAATTATTTTAAACAAAAATATATGACTTAAAAATAAAAGTTCAAACTTTAACGTACGGAACTTAAAACCATATAAATTGAACTTTCTTTAATATTACATACACTCACACATCCTGCAAAGTAGGGTTCCTCAAGCTACTTTATAATATGATTTGGTCTTCTATTCTAAGGAGACTGAAAAACTTACTACTTCTTAATTAAAAATAAAAATTATTATATTATTCAATACAATTCAAACTAAAAAATAATAACTCTTCTAATAAAACCTTTTCCAATTCCAACTCTACTTGAATTCGAATTACCAATATGAACTTGGGCCATGTTCTTTATGGCCTAATTAAAGCCTTTTCCAACTCTGCTTGAATGGATGCACTTGCTGCCCCAGTTGGGCTGGAAAGGTTTGTGTGAAAACCTTCAACAAGACTAAGGTCCTAGTGCCTTGGTAAAGACTTACCCCCCAAAAATTCTCTTATATGTTCATAAAAATGTTCTTTATTGGCCCTAAATGGGCTTATTGTTGCAAAAGCCGATAATTCTATATCGCAACAACTTCCAGGCTCTTTGGTCTAAAGTTAGTTCTTTATAATTATAGGGAAGTGAGCACGTCCAAATTCTATGATACACAAATTTGGTTTAGCTCTTAATTGATAATATTCAATCATTTAGTCTTAAGAAAATTTATCTGATACCCAAATGAACAAACCATAAAGCTTAAGATCGATCTTGTGTTGAAGAGAACACTTAATTATAATATTTCTCCACATGTCAAAATAAATATATAACTTAATGATAATTTAACATCTTATCAACTATTGTGCTGTTTGTCTCTTAACATGGGTCTTACAAATTGATATGTAATTGGACCACATGCCTAAATACAACAAATTTTGATGGAAAATATTTTTTTTATAATATTTTTGTGTCACTTTTTTATACAATTAACGTGTCATTAAAATAATTGATTCTTTTAATTCATATGAGACTTGTGATATTGAATGCATCTACTTATTTAATGATATGTGAAAATTGTATAAAAAAATAAAATAAAAAGATTATCCTTATAACACCACTTAATTTTTATTGGCTAGCCCAAATTTTATGGAAGTGTTTAAAATGACGTTTAATCCTTAATAAGGTCCACACGTATTTAAGAATCATACTTTCATAGGGCCCATTAAAGACAAAGATAAATTTTCAGTCAGAAATCACAATTTTCTTTCAATTTGTCCGCACCAACATTTTGGGCTCTGAAATTTATTTGCCTGTTTATTCTTGATCCAGCATAGCTGATAGCACCAGTCAAATACTGTAGTAATGAGCAGTGTTTGGCCCATCCAGAGCCAGGAATGCTGGGCCACCTTTTTGAGTTGTGATTATCATCCAATCATAGATTACGGTGGCAGCACGCAAACAGCAGTGCATCCGAGCCCCACCGTGGCACTGCCAAAACGGAGAACAGTCTTGCCATCATCTGGACATCCCAACTGCTACATGTAGATGCCGTAAGCACTGGCAATTATATGTTGGAGCCCACACGCAGGTACCTCTCCTATTCTCTTTCCCCTCTGCAACGTCACAGGGAGCTGCACGACATTCAAAGCTCCGTTGTAAGTCTAACCCCCTAAAGAACCCGGCTTTCGTTTTCAATTGCAGTCCCTTTATACTCAGTTTCCTGCATCGTTTTCACAGATTTTTGTAAGGGTTGATAGATTTTTTTTGTGATGATTTGAGGTAAATCTTGTTGTTCCATGGTTTTGATTTCTAGGTTTGGAGTTTTATTCTGTTTTAATATATGGGTTCCTTTCAAATTCTGTTCTTGATGGTTTGATCATTTTTTTTATAGTAATTAAACTCTTGTATGAGAGATGAAAAAGTTTGAAATTTTTGTTGTTTCTCTTCTCTTTCAATCCCAGATGGAGCTTATGTTCTTTTTGTTTTTGAAAAGCAGGGGTTTATGTCGTTTGGAACACAGAATACCCAATTTGTTATTTAATGGGTCTTGATTTGTTTCTGTATTTGTTAATCTGAAGTATGATTGCTTAACAGGGAAGAAGTTGAGTTTTGTTGCGCGTGTCCATTCCTCTTCTCCAATCCTCCTAATTGAACTAGGTTCCCGTATACATCTTTATTTGCCCCTATGGATGTTAAGCACTGGAATGACAAGCGTGAGAGAGAAATGTATGGGAATTTTGCAGAGCTTTACGCCATAATCATAGCCACAGAGAAGCTCGAGAAGGCCTACATTCGAGATATCATATCTCCTTCTGAGTATGAGGCTGAGTGTCAAAAGCTTATTGCCCATTTCAAAACCCTTGCTTCCACACTCAAAGATACTGTCCCTAGCGTTGAACGTTTTGCGGATACGTATAAGATGGACTGCCCTGCTGCTATAAACCGGCTTGTGACATCTGGGGTGCCTGCCACGGTGGAGCACCGTGGTGCTCAAGCGGCCTCTGCCACCACCTCAGCTGCCGTTGTGGCTGAGTGTGTGCAGAACTTTATCACTGCCATGGATTCATTGAAACTTAACATGGTGGCCGTTGATCAAGTGTATCCTCTCCTGTCCGACCTCTCAGCTTCACTCAATAAGCTAAGCATTCTGCCTCCAGATTTTGAGGGGAAAATGAAGATGAGGGAGTGGATTTCAAGATTGTCCAAGATGGGGGCGGCAGATGAATTGACAGAGCAGCAAGCTAGGCAGCTGCACTTTGATTTGGAGTCCTCCTACAATTCATTTATGGCGCTTTTGCCTACTGCTGGTACTTGATTGGTTTGGTGTTTCATTGGTGTAAGTCTGCATATAACGTCTTTTGCTGCACCATTACTAATTTTTAGTTTACATTATTGGGAGTGATTGTATTTCTGTACTCCCAAGTAATATTCTGTGTTGATCATGGATGGAATTGTTTATCATGTGATATTATCGATTTCAAACTCTGTTTTGCAATGTTATCATATTCATTCTCCTATTGTTTTAGCTGTACAATCCTTTTGTTCACCAATAAATGATTTTGTTCTTTGATGTACTTCTTTCGAATTTTGAGAACCTGTCTATGTTGAAGAAAAATAGGCATGTGATAACTTGCTACAAACTGTACAAGAGTGAAAGCTTTGTGATCTAGTTTTTTATCATACCCAGTCTTTGGTGTTTCATTTTATGTACAAATACTGAAAACAAGATGCAAATGAAAGTACATCAGTTGAACTGCAATTAAGATTGAAGATTGAAAGTATACAAAAGGGATCACCGATCAGCTCTTCGTGTTCTCAGATTTGAAGATTGATCATAGGATACCTCCAGTGTAAGAATTTTTCCAAACTCTGAATTTCTAGTTTGTGCCATTTTTATCTGAATACTATACATCTGGGGAAAATGCTTTCTCAAAAGAGAGAGAGAAAATTTTCCCAAATTTTCTGTACAATCTAACCATGGGATATGGTCAAAATCAGAATAAATTGTGTCGAACTTACAAGAAATGCAAAATTGTTGGTAAGAGTGGGAATAGGATGACGATGATGAGGAAAATACCAAGAGCTATAGCTATGCATGTCCACTTTCTCGAGTCCTTTTGACATTCCCTAGCATCCTGCAGCTGCTCTGTACCTCTCCTTACAAATGAACTGGCATGAGCAACATGGCTTTCAATGTCGTTGAGTTGGTGACCCTGTGCTTCAACAAGAGCAGCCATGTCCAGGAACACCTGGTGGAGCTCAATCAGGTTCTTCTCTATTTCCTTCACGGCATCATGTCTTTCTTGTATTTCTGATATGGTATCCAGGATCTGACCTCGCCCCTGTTCCTGGATTGCCTTCTGCATAAAACTCTCGCTCTCACCGCTCGCTATCAAGTTCTCAATGGTTTCTTCATCAGCTTTCTGTCCTGTAATGGTGAAGTACCGTCGTTCAATTGTTTCTTTATACTCTGCTGTCATTCTTGCTCTTAATCCCTGGAAATCATCCATCAAATCCTTCAATTTTTTCCCCAATCCACTGACCACAGAGCTCCTGGTTCTATCTGCAGAAGATCCAGAGCCACAACCCGGAATGTTTCGACTAGCTGCATTGGATCGTTCCAAGGCTTCAAGCTTTCCCTTGATTATTTTCACCTTCTTAAGAACCTGTTCAACATCAGTATCCATCCGAGCACGGAGCTGTTTCATGGTCTTTGCATTGTGGACGGTTTTGCTTTCTTCATTGGCATCCTGTAATGCCTTATACAGCCTCTCAACACCCTTCATGTCTTCTTTTACATTCTCAACATCTTCAAAGAATTTGTCTAGATTAACACTCTCCTTCCCAGCCTCCATGTCTTCCATCTGCGTCTGCTGCCGCAGATCCGTGTACTTCTTGAACGAACTCGAGAACAGATCATTCATCTTCGCTCCAATAAATAGATTATCACTGCTCTTCTGCAAAATATGATTCCTTTTTTGCTTCTGAAATTCCCCCAAAGAAATCCAGTTTGTTTGAGAGCAAAGGGAAAACAAAAGTAAAAGTGTAACCATAAAATGGTTGTAGGAAAAGGTTCCTTATTTTGGGGAGGAAGAAAAGAAGGAAATAGGAACTTGAGGTTTTTATGTTTGCTTGATATTAGTAAATGATCTTTCCTCTGTTCATTGTTAGGTTGACCCTGTCATCCTTTTATGTCCATCCTCTCCACATCTTCAAACCCTTCCTGTCCAACTCAAGTGCTAAATCTAAAGTGGGCATTCCTATTGGGCATAATTAGATTTACTAAATAGGAAATTGACAGAAGCATCTGGAAGCATTCATTCACATGCATCTATTCCATAAAAGAAAACTCTATATTTCACATAAATTTTTTAATTTTGAGATAAATTATATATCTTTCTTTAATGATGATATGTCTTTAATTATACTTTATATAAATCCAATAAATCAATATGCATCTTAACACCAAGGGAATCACTTAAAAAAAACCATTGAAATTCAAATACAATGCATTTAAAAATGAGTTTAATGACAATTTGAGAAGTCCTCCTAAATATGAGGCAATCTTCACCATCAAATTCATAAACTTTAATTTAACACAAATCTTATTCAGCCATTCCTCCACATCTTTCATTCAACCAATCAAACATATCATTGCGAACAATTTCGATGTTCTCCTCTAGCTCTCCAAACAGCAATGAATGCATCATCCCCTCATATATCTTTATCGTCTTGTCCTCACTCTTTGCCTCTTCATACAACGCTAAGCTCACAGCCGGATCCGTTACTGCATCTTCACTGCCGTGTAGTACAAGAAACGAGAGACTTACCTCACCCAATCGTTTACCCAGATACTCCGTAGCCCTGAGGAGCTCAAGAACGGTGCCTAATCTCGGTTTTCCCCTGTATCTCTCCGGATTCATGTCTCCGATTATCTTTTTCTCTTCCACTTTGATTGATTTCTTCATAATGTCTTCCGTTGGTACAATTGGGAGGGTGGGACAGAATTTCGCCACAAAGGTGAGGATTTGGGGAATTGGCCATCTGGGTTTCACCTTGTCGGAGATTTTGCACATGGGTGCCACCAGGATCGCTCCGTCGAACCCCTTTGGATCGGCGAAATGGATCAACAAACAAATGGCACTCCCCATCGATTCCCCGTAAAGAATCCTCGGCAACCCATGAAATTGGGGATATTGCTTGATGAAATTGAAGAATGACAACAAATCTTGGATGACAAGATCGAGATTCGGAACGTAAGCTTTTAATCCCTGAGACCTGCCGTGCCCTTCGATGTCGACGGCAAAGCAAGCGAAACCCTTCTGTGCGAAGAAGATCATGGTGGACTGGAAGGTCCAACTGATGTCATTACCATAGCCGTGAACTCCACAGATGATGCCACGGGTAGGGCCGGAGATGGGCAGCCATGATCTGGTGAAGAGAGAGAGGCCTCTTGGGGAAGTGTAGAAGGATTTTGACCCCTTGATTCCTTGCTGCTTGTAATACTCATCCTCTGGGGTTCTGCCCCAGTAATGGACACCATCTCCTTGTTCCTCCATTGTTGGAAGAGGGGAGAGAGAGAGAGGATGCTATGTTTGGGGTCTCTTTGGATTTTGCGATTTGGTTTTCCGGATTTGGGGCTTGGTATATTGCGTCGAATGGAGGGAAGGAATGCTGAGTTGGCGGCTGATAATCGCTGACTCGGATATCGACTCGGTTGACTTCAAAGTCTAGAATAGTCTTTGGTTTGACTTTTTATAATTACAGATTATAGGTTAATAATATATAAAGGGGTGGGCATTCGGTGGGTAACCGAATGGTTATCAAGAAATTAAACCAAAAAAATGAATTTAATTTGGTTTAAATAGTTTTTGAGTTTTATTATTTTGGTTTTGATATATATATATATATATTTTTTTTAATAAGGGTAATGGTTAGGAAGTTAGTAGAGTTAGTTGTTAACAATTGAGACTTCCCAGAAAGGTGAACAATCCACCCTTCAAAAGAGGCGCGCGACCATTAGGTCGCAAATTGGGAGAGTTCACGGCGGTAGCAGAGTTCGAAATCCTGACCTCCGCCTCACCCAAGCTCTAAGGGTTGGGGGCCAACCATTTAGCCATAGGTCCAATTGGCTTTGATTTTGATATTAACTGAATAAATTTCGATTCGATTTCTATTAAACTTTTCATAAATTAAAAATCGAAAATAAACCTCTTGAAAACAAAAATTTAAATAAATATTATAAAATATGAGATAAAATATAATTTATTATTAAAAAAATTGATTAATATTTATTTAGTAAAAACTAAAATCAAACCAATTTTTTTGATAACCAAACCGATTAATTTGTGAAAATTTCAATTCGGTTTCAATTCTCAAAATTCAAGAAAATTTTTTTTGATTATTTTAAAACCGATTTCAGTTTCAAACCGAAACCGGTTTTTACCCACCCAAGCGAATACTCTTAACCTTCCCTAACTTCCCTTCACCAAAGTCTCCCACGTGAAAATGACCATTGACTTGACTTTTGAGTGGTGTCTTTGTTTTAATTTTTATTTTTTATTCTTTAGTTAAATAATAAATTATATAGTATATGAGATAATTTTATTTTTAATGTAAAAATTAAAATTTTTTTATGGATTATTCCTGTTAGACATTTTAATTTTTGTTATTTATAATTCTTGTAGGATACTAATTTTATTGGATTAAAATTTAAAAAGTTATTTAAATTACCTTAATATGTTACGTACATTAATTACTTAAATTTATCTTTTTATCTTATCAATCACATTGTGATTCAGTGATTAAAGATTAGTGGTGTGACATGTAAACTATAACTTCAAGTCCCATCACTAAAGATTAGCTATGTACCATGTAAAATCTAACTTCGAGTCTCATCACTAACTTTTATCTCTTTCCCCTTTAATTTGAATTTGTAGTTGTATTATAATGTAATGTAATTATTTTTATTTTTTTAAAAAAAATTATTTTTCAACCACGAAAGTACCCACTGACTAAATACTAAATTCATAAGAAATTTGAAGACCTTGACTTTAAATCTCAAGATGAATGAAAAAACTTTTTTTTTTATATAACCTATAACCTAATACACCAAAGATATTTTACAAGAAATCATTAAATAAGCCATGAGAAATGAAAAGGAAACTACTGAAGAGCAATATCTCCCCTTTTTGACAGTAAAAAACATGCACTTAATTTACATCCTCAACAAATGTTATATCAAAGGATAGCAGGTGAGCTCTGGGAAGTAAAAACTACATAGCTTCGACCTTCTACCCAGTTGTTCTACCCAAGCCTACATCCATATATATTACTTCAGAGAGGATGAATGATGGAATGTTTAACAGCAAAATTCAGAGTTTTTTTACCATGTTGCTGACCTCCTACCTCTCTTGTGTATGTACAGCAGCCAAGAAGCACTGCCGATATTGGTGAACCTAAACCAAAACTGTTTCCACCCTCACCACAATTTAGTTCCCTCAATGTTAATTCAAAATATTGCATAGCATAGAAGTACACTGATCTATCCAATGGCTGACGTAGACCCAGACATCTGCATAGAAAAGGCTGCAGGATGGTTGCTGTCATTATCTTGATGGCTGACTGCCTCCAAGTGCAATGCTGCTGCTGAGTTTCTCTCCTTCTGTTCCTCCTCCACTTGGCTGGGTCTGAGTAACTGTCAAACTACCATTACCACCAGAGCTCAATAACTTTTGCTGCCTGAGGTACCTCTCAGTGGCATCTTGAAGCAACCTCATCATGCTGCTAGAGTCTGAACCAGGAGATGGCTCTTCTTCCCTCTCCGGCTGGATATTGAGGTCGATTTGACCCTTAAAAGGTGAGGATGAGGATTTTTTCTTGCTAGGATCATCATCAGAACCTTCACTGACTACCTTCTTTGGTTTTGGACTGCTACTTCCTGCATTACTAGAAGTGAGGGAATCATCATCTAATAATTTCTCAGGCAATGGTGGTTGCTGCTTCTTGTGTTCAGTTTCTGATTCTTTCTGTGATTGTTTCTTCTCACGCCTCAGCATCAGGGTTCTAAAACGGCGCTTCACTGTCTGGCAGACATTGCAAGTACATGTTGGCTTGTGTTTGGGGCCCTTCCCACTTGGGGGCTGAATGCACACAATGCATGAGCAGCCAGGTCTATGTCGAGGGTGCTTTGTGGTGGCCTGTGATGATGCTGGAAGAGCCTCCCCCTCTTCCAAGATAGCTAGGTTGGCAAGAGTATCCAGCCCCTCCAAAGCATCAACACTTTCTGGTTCCTGTTTAGCAGCCTTCATTTTCTTGGAAGCAGCTGCATGGTCAAAACAATTCCTAATTTCACATTTGGAAATCATTTCAAGAATTACCAATTACACAAATGATACCATCCCTAGAGCATTAGACTTATTCATAATCTGTAATCTGCATATTTGCTTCCAATCATTCAAACAAAATGATATTCTATGTTTTTTCCAAGCAACTTATACCTGAACTACTGTGTGGTAGCAAATCTTCAAGCTGTTCTGATGTCAATTCCTCAGCTGCTGAACAAGAAGATCTGGCAGTGAAAAAAAATGTCACATATTAATCATAATGCTTGAACAACAACTACTTTTGGTCTTTCTCATTTAGCTCTTCCTGGTTTATTCTGTTTTCTTTTCCATTTTGTGGGGGCCGGAGAACAAATACAATTACAAAGAAACAAAGAGAATACTAAACATGGAAAGAGGCCATATATTTTAACGAAAACATCCACTTGACAATATGGGTCATAAGGTCCATGTGTAACAGACTATTTATATTTAAACTGGCATTGAAAGCAATGGTCTGAACAATATACTGTGTTAATAAATTCTGGTTGTGCTAAAAAAGTTCTCCCTAAAGCTTCCAGGAAACAGGAAAAGAACAAAAGGACAAAAGAGCTCCACAAATAGGGAATACATGACTTACCTTAATGGATCCCATGAATTAATTGAACAAGTCCACTTGGATGGAAGAGGTGTGGTAGCAGGCAACTTGCGCCACTTAAAACAATCCTCACACTGAACCCATTGAAACTTCTCACTGATAAAGGAAAAAAAAAAAAAAAAGGAGAAACAGCATCAAGCAAAACTACAAATCCATTCCAAGTAAGATAGATGAAAGAAAAAGACAAGTACAGACGAGAGGAAAAGCATAAATAATTCTAAAATTTAATGATTTGATGTTTTCTTATCCTTGGTGTTGTACTACTGAAAGTGCAAATTTCTATGTTCTTAGGATAGAACAGGTGTACCCTTGCCATGGACAGAAATTAACAACCTGAAAAAATACTACTAAAACACTAGACATACATTGCATAGGTAGTTTTCATGACCAATACAAAAAAATAATAATAAATAAATAATAACCAAAATTGTAAAAACATGATGAGATGCTAAAAAAAATATAGGCACACACACAGACAACACATAATATATACATGACATCACCAATGGACATAAAATGAACACACAGAAAGTAATTTACCCAGCATTATCTGTCACAAATATTGTTGGCTTCCCAATTACTGGTGCATCCTGTTGTAACACATCCAATTGCCAAACAAGTTATAGAGAGAATGCAGTGTGTTGAAATCAGAAATTAAAAAAACAAAGACAAGTAAACATAAAACAATAGGAGGATGGCCCCAGAAACCGTTGTACCTCATATTCCTCAAACTCAAATCCTTCAATCACTACAACACTGGCAACATTGTTGGGAGGTGGGCGAAGCAGTCCTTGAGCTTCTTCCCATGTTATTTTCAGCTCTATTAGGTCCTCGTTATCAATTCTTATGCGCTTATTCTTTGAAACTAGCATGCTATTCTTTCTCTTCCTAGAAATTGCAGATTTAGATCCCAATGCTTCTTTTGCTATGTACCCTGACTTATCAACTTTTGACCATGAGGTGGGATCAGCCAAGTCAACCTGGTCAATTGATTAAACACTACATGAGCTATAAATTTAATGAAAAATAGTTAACGCAACATCACCAGTTTTAGATTTTCAAATACTAACATCTACATGTACTGAAACTCCATTGCCAGTCTTCCCTTCATTGTCCTGTCAACATAACCAGAGGCAAAGAAATTTAAGTTTCTTTCAAAGCTGTTGATCATGAAGGACTACTTCAAAATTAATACCAAAATCCTAAACCAGAACTCTACATCAACATCACATCTGTTGGCAACATATTTAGCCTAAACAGCAACAGACAACTGTCAACTGATCTAGAAACAAAACAGCTTCAGCAGTTCCAACTACCAGAGAGGGGCCAAAAAAGGCTATCAAAGAGATCTAATAATCTTGGTTATGATTTAAATCAAGATAAATTGTATACAGAAGCCCAAATTCAAGAAACATGGTTCCTTGCCCCACCAACCAGGCTTAAGGAAATATTCCATCCTCCTTTTTTGCCATAATATGAAAAGTCAAGAAACTCAATTGGAATAGAAACACATAATAGGAAAGTAATTTCACACATATTTTCACTGGAAGATGGTATGCTATTGAAAATGAACCTGATCTGATGCTGGAGCAGTTGGAGCTTTTCTGCAACCCATAACCAATTTTCCACCTGGTTCTAACCGACTAAATGTTACTGAGGAAACAGATTAAAAATTCAGTTCGAAATGAAGTGATAGAAAGTATGAAGAATCAAGTATGTAATAACATACAACAATAAATTAGATGAGAAACAAAATTTCCAGGAAAAATCATAGCCATTCGAAACTTATAAACAGATTCAAGCTCCATCTCAGAGACACATTAGAACCAGTAAATTCAAGCAGCAGATAAACCAAGACTGAGGGAATTCCAAAGAAAAGAAACTGATGATGGGTGAGGCACCTAATAGGTTATATCATGGTGAGCATATAATAGCTGAAGTTTCTGAATCATGATTTCAGTGATACCAGATGCTTACCTACATCACCTGCTTGCAGTTGCATGTTCTGAATGCAAGGAGTAACACCCTCTAAAACATACATTCTGCTATTATTGTTGGGCCAGAACCGGAACTGAAATATCCATTCCTTTCCTTTCGCATCCTGGACTTTAAGAGGTAAGCCCTCAGCCAGAGATATTGGCGGGAAGTATGCCTGTTTCAAGGTTTAACACATTAGTAAGTTAGAAATCCAGAGGACAAATGGAGAATTTATGAGAAATTAAAAGTTTAAAACTACTCACAAAGTTAAACTAAAGTAAAGGCCAAAATTATCATTTTTCCAAAAGCATCATACAAGTTATTGACAAAACAAGCCACCTTCACAAGAGTGTTGAAATAATTATCCACTCTCCTGACAGAGGTTTCTCTGTGTATGTGACAAACGCAATAAAATATGAAAGCATTGTAAGCCAAAATTATGCATGCTTAGACTACCAATATTGTTCTCAAGCTTTGCAAGCCCACCCACTATTAACAATTACAGAAACAATTTAGTTTTATCCATCACAGACTTCGAGAATGCTAATCGAAGATAAGGAAAGGGGCAAGGTTATTTTTCTCTTAATTCTAATCAAATAGAAAGTCTCACCTCTGCACATTTCTTTGGCAGAACCAAACGCCCAATTCGTCCGGCATCACTTGCACTCAACGTTTTCTCAAACAAAGGAGTAATTACAGAATTTGAACTTAGGGATGGTTAAGTCTCACAGAAATGCTGATATAACTAAAAAGATTGGACATGCATGGGTATTATATATGAATAGATAGATAGATGGATAGATACACACTATTTCAGAGTGTACGTGTCAATAATAAAAATAATAACCATTTTAGAGTGCGGATAAAAAAATTCCAAAATAAAAAGGCTAACTGAATACTTGAATAGAAACTGCCTCAAAATCAGAAATGCATTCCAAAATAATAATGAAAACCTTATACAATCAAAGGATACTCCCCAGATATCTGCTGTAGATCTTGATCAGTAAACCTTGGCCAATACCGAGGATATAACAGATTCCTTCCACGTGCTTCCTGTCGAGACCTCCCATTGCGTACCTGAGTTTCATTAGATGAGTCAAGCCCATTTTGTTGGCTACCATGAAATTGCTTTGTGAGAGGAGGTTGCGTGACTGATCGCAAGTGAGTGTTAGTAACCCCTTGTTGACCATTTGTTTCATCTTGGGATGTATGAGGTGCAGCTAGACCAAACTGTGGATTGGACTGATCCTGCTTTAGAAGGGAAGACTGCTGCTGAGGTTTATTTGAACATGAGCTAGGCTGTTCCTCACCATTAATTCCTGCAGCAAATAGTCAATGATAGTAGCTAACCTATTAGTTGTGTTTATACTAGACCATTTTCAGCAGCAGCAGCAGCTAGCAGCACAACAAGATGACAGTGCACTTGGAACATTTACATGCATGTTACGTATGTCATCATGTACTAATATTTTCTTTTTAGTTATGACAGAGATTTGAACTGAAAGGCATATATATATACAATTCCTTAGACCATAAAACTAAATTGAGCAAAATAAAACAAAATCTGAACCTGGATGTCCATTCTCAAGTATATCCCGTGTCCCAAGCTTCAAGCTTCCATTCATTAGTCTTTCAGAAAAGCTTTCTATTTTCCTCTTTTCTAGGGAAGGGAAAGATGGCCTTTCACTGGCCCCAATTCTGTCAATGCCTGTAGATAAGTCAACTTCATAAGATACCCTGGGATGAAACTCAGGTTGAGAAGCAGATGAGTTGAACAACGTGGGTGCTTGCCGCCAAGGTACAGGACCAGATCCTGCTAACTGGCTCCAACTTTTAACAGGCGGTGAGTGGAAAAACAGAGGAGTTGACCATGGAACATTTTGCCCCTGAATACAATTTACAGAATGTAGAGTTGTATTAGAGGTTCCATACCAAAAAAGAAAAAAAAAACCCAGGATGCCTCATTCAAGTAGCACAAATAAGCTTTGAGCTAAGAACAAAATGAAATGAATCTGCCAATGAAGAAATTTTTTTGGTTCATGTATCATACAAAAGTTAAAAACTAAAAACTTATGCCTCCACAAAAATTTTCCAAAACAAAAATGTATGCTTCTCACCTATGCATAGATAAGGTGGAGAACAAAACTAATGGTTTTTATAGAAGACCATATATTATTATGGAATTAAAGAGGTGGAATGGCTCTAGATTACACCCCCAGAGTGATTTCAAAATAAGAAAAACTTCAAGATGCTTAAGTTTCCTCTATTATCCTCCATGACCAAATTTAAATTAAGCAGCACTAATAGGAAGTTAGGATAACTCGTCACAAGACTAATAAATAGCCACAATTAAACCACAGAAGCTACTAGTCTTGCTACTGTTGTATTGGCAATATTCTTATGAAAAATGGATGCCACAATGATGAAAGGGGCATGACAGTCACTCCCTGATAACAGACAACACCATCCTTACCAGAACAACATTTTTTCTTGCACATGCTGCACATTCAATGCCTCCAGGATCCAGCAATGTAAAGGCATGGGCTGAAACTATACATCCACAATGAACCGGCTGCAAAGAAAGATCAACTATATGCTGATTTAAACCCCACAAAAGAAACAAAACCAAAACTGGGAATATCTAATGCATTTAGTCAATATCTAAAATAAACACCATGATCATCACATAAATAAATCAATGATAAACATTCTAACCTTCCTACAAGACTCACAATTCCTCCAGCCTGCAGCATTCAAGTGGAAAGTATCACAAAATCTTCCCTCCTCATAAGCAATACTAAAACCACAAGAACTAGAGTCAGTTTTGACTAGTTAGAGATACCAAAACAGAATGCAGAGAGATAACACTTCACGAAGCATTTAAACCAATTTGATAAATTGATAAAACTTAAGGAACACTGTTATCTTCGAACAATTCAATATAGTTTGAAGCTACCCCCTATCTTCAAACCGTATCCTACTACTCTCACTAACCCAATTGAGAATGACAGTTGAACCACACGAACCTCAAAACTGCTATCACACATTCATACTAACTACTCTTCAGAAAATCACTTAGGATTCAGAAAAAGTCTAGGCAATCAACCAACATAACTCAGAAAAGTTTTGTAGATTCCAACTCCAACTAACATTCTAAGTAAGATAAACAAAGTTCAGTACCCATTTCACAAATCAATAAACCCAGAGCAAAATTTTCCAATTAATCTCCAAAGAAAAGCATAACAACGCCCGAATTAAGCAAAAACACCCAAAGTCCCACCAAACTCAACCTGGTCAAATTAAAAAGAAAATAAAATTCGGAAAAACCATAAATGAGCAGACACTAAAACGAAATCAACAAATAGTCCAAAAACAGCTCACCCGCATCGATCACATAGCTCCGCGAACTCCCCCGTGCGAAGCCGCCACCCTTTCCTCGGCCTCTCCGATTTCAGCTCCGTACAGTCCGAGTTGTAACAAATCTTCGACGACGACGACGAAGAAGTCGACATGCCGTTTCCCAAACCTCAAAAACCACCCCCGCGCTTAAACCCTAGAATTCCAGATACCTCAACCTGAGAGAGAAACCAAGCACCGTTCGGAAAACATGGAGGTTACATGCTGATCTGGTCAGTCATGAAGGAGACGGGTTAGGAGTCAGAGGAAGTTTTAGTGAGAGAAAGAGTGACGTTTTAGTAAGAGAGAGCAAATGCATTTATAAATACATATATAGGCGTGTGTGTGTATTGACTAGTGAGGCTTAAACCACACGTCGAGTCCGTCGCGCATTTTTAATGTTTCTTTTAGGTCCACGAATTTGCCTTGAAGGATCATGTTTGGCTACTTTTATATTAAATTGTTAAATATAAATTAAAAATTTTTAAATAAAATAAAATTTATTCGATGTGGTAATTATTAATAAGAAGAAATTTATTTTTTATTTAATAATTTAAATTATTTAATTTAATATAAAAATGGTTTAATATAACAATTTATAATTTTACTTAATTAATAAATATAAATATATAAATTATACATAAGAATTATTATTAAATTAAATAAAATAGCTCATCCTTGATTTCAAACTGTTTTGCCTATCATAGAAGACTTTTGTATTTTCATAATCTTTTTTGCGTTTCTTGTCTAGATGTCGAATGGATTTGGATTGGATAGAGCTATTTTAAGTTTATTTTATTTTATTTTATTTCCTTGTTCTGTTATGGGAAAACTACAATTGTGTCCTTGAATTTTCATGGAGATGTCAATTTAGCTTCTAAAACAATTTCATAATCAACTAAGAGATAAGACTGAAATAAAAAGGTCAACTAAGAAACTTACACCTAATCCTTTTGATAAAGATTGTCACATGTGAGCAATTGAATCTGGATTGTTTTTCATTGGAAGCATATTAATTGAATATCTATGAAATATTTTGCTGATTTTCTCATTAATATACTTCCAAATATCACATTAAATATCCGCGTATGCAAAATTCTAGAATAGAGATATGGTGGACCTACTTTTCTGGCTGCAATAAAATAGGTGCTCATTTCTCTTAGTGAGATCCATGGTTCGACCTTATAGTCTTACAAATATATCCTACTTTATCAAATATTCCCTCACTCTCAAAAAAATTTTCCTTATTAAAAAAAATAATGTGTTATTTTACAATCCACCTATGACAGGCTGTAAGATTAGGATCATAAAAAAGGGGAGGGAGGCCCAATATTAGGGAGCCATGGTCTTGTGGCGTATTGTAAGATACAATTTTGTGTAAAAAAAAAAATGAGGGATAAGTTGCACAAGCCACACCCAATCATATTTCCATCAACTCTTTTCTTATATAATGTTGATCTAGTCAAAAATATTTTTCAAATTTGTTTTTAAAATTAAGAATTAATAAAAAAATTACTTTCTCATGATCTCTTTAATTAGAAAATCAAAGGTTAGTTAATGAGATAAGTACTTATTTATCAACCAAACCACCCTTGGGCTATGTCCATTAATTAACATGGTTTGTTTAAGTTGATTCTCAAACAATAGAGCTTATGTGATAATAAAAATACTTCAGAATCTAAACAGAAAACTCATTAGAACTTCAGGGTGGGGAGAAGAAAAGACCATTTTTATAACGCTAAGTAGTTTAGGGGGGTTCTTTCGCCATTTCATGCATTTTGAGCGTTCTTTTTTACTTGGCGTGCGCGTTATTCTTTGTTTTTTGGGTTTGTCATTATAAACAAGTGTATTTAATATATTTTTAATTATAAATTTATATTAAAAAATAAAAATTAATTTTTAATTTATTAATTATTTAATTAAATTTACTTGATATTAAAATTAATATTAATTTTTATATTTTTTATATATATTTATAATAAAAAAATATTTTTAAATACAAATTAAAAAAATCCTTGTTTTTTTAAGAAAGAAAGAAAAATGTTCCACATGGCGAGAGAGTAGGGATCCATCGGTAATTTCGTGAGGAGTCTTTTTTGGGGAGGGGAGTGGGGCAATGCGGGATGGGGAGCAGTCGATGGGGAGCAGTCGCTCGTGCATGGCCCGCCACCACTAGTAGTAGAGGTCATGCAATCACGTAACGCATACTGCTCGTTCTCGATTTTAACGCGACATTTTGTGGACTTTTCAGACAATCGGACACATGGATTATCCACAAAGATATTACATCCAAATTTAATGCGCATTTATTTAAAGTATGCTCTTAATGGAACGTGTGTTATTTCCGTCAAAAAAAAATGGAACGTGTGTTATTACTTCCGAATTTAGTTTTTTTTTTTTACTAGTAATAGAATAAAGACATGAACTAATATGAGAAAAGGTATTTTATAGATTGGACCATTTATTTATTAATATAATAAAGATATAAATTAATATAAAAGTGTTTAACATGTTAGATTGTACATTA